CGAGAGAAGTCGAGCCGCGTATTCCAGTGCTGGATAAAGGGCTGGCCGACGAGAAGATCGTGGCGTGCATTCACCTCCTCGCTGTAGACAAGAGCCGTCCCGTCGTCCTGGGATTGCGTGTGCGGATTGGCGCGAGTGACAAAGAAATGATGCGGGAACAGGTGGCCGCCAATGGAGATCGGGACGTCTTTTGCTAGGCCACGGAGACGTACGGGGCCACCGTTAACACCCTTAACATGCCAGTGCGAGCCGCCGTTATCGAGAGGTAGACCAAGAGACGCGACCAGCCGCTCTGGCATGAGGTTGAGCTCCGAGCCCGTGTCGATCATGAGCGTGACAGGCTGCCCGTTAACTGTCGCTGTAAGGGTACCGGTCGCCATGGATAGATGTCTAGGAGTGCGGCTATCAGCTTGAGAGGTATGCGCTACGTACGTACTGAATAAAGTACGATCTTGAGGTGTATCAGGAGCGTGTACCAGACCAGATGGCGTACTGAGCTGGGACTGTTCGTGGCACTCTGCGCAGATGTCGTGAGCTTCAGGAACGCAAGCGACGAACTCACCTTGCGCGTTCTGGGTTAAGTACTCCCGATGGACACGGGTGTACTCAGTGACGGACTTCTGCAGGGAAGGTGAGATGCCGACGAGCTGGCGGAGCGGCAATGTAACCGGGAGATCCCAGATCGCCTTTTCGACGTCTTCGGTGTTCACGGCGTCCTGAATCTTCGATGTGAATCGATACTGGTTCCTGGGCTTGTCAGGGTCCCGCATCTCGACATCCTGGTTACGCTCCGTCCAGGGCTTCCGAGGAGGGTTGCGGGTGTTGATATCGTGAGGCGGCGGGGCTGGCGGTCGAGGAACAGTTGGCGGAGTCGTGGCGGCAGGTGCTGGGGCGGGTGCGGAAGCGGCAGGCGGGCGAGTAGGCGGTGTAGCGGTTGGCGTATGTGATGCAGTCGGGGCTTTGGCAGGTGCGGGTGTGCGGGGATTGGGCGTGCTATCGGATGGGCCGTTTGGGCGACGCTTATCGGATGGATAGGGTGCTGTTCGGGCCGCGGTGTCCCGACCCGATCGAGTGACGGGCTCAACGTTGAACTCTGAATTGAGATAGAAGTCAGCGTTTGGCGGGAGCCCAGGTGCGTACTGGTCGTAAGTTGCTGCGTTCGATATTCCAGTAGCTTGGGTGTCCGGTTCATCGATGCTGAACACAACGGCCGATGTCCCTGCGACATGCGAGGAGGGTGAGGTAGAGGGTTTGCTGTGTGGCGGAGCATCCTTAGCTAACGTGGCCGTTGAACCCGAGTTCGAAGGAGCAGATGGCGCTCGAGGAAGTTGGCCGGCCGCGTACAGCTGGCGCAGGTAGGGAGCAAGCTTGCGTGTCTGGCCGTAGGGAGCTGGTGGGGCCATTGGAAGCTCGCTACCATCCATGAGGAGAACACGGCGCCGCTGATTAGCGTCAAGAGCAATCTGAACGATTCCCTCGTCGATCAGTGCGTGTGTCTCGGGACAGCTCTGGATACTGCCGTGTGCGTCGCGCTGTCCGCAGACGAAGCACACTGAGCTAAAACCCGGCCGGTTCTGGTTCGGCAGAGAGTTAGCTGGCGCCGGTGCCGGCGTGGCTGGTGCCGAGCTGCTGCTGGCCGAAAGTGTGCCCGTCGTCACGAGCTCATAGACTTGTTCCTTGGAGAGGGCACGAAGAACGGTGTTGATCGATAGCCCGCGCAATTGGTCGGCAAGGGCGTCGACCGGGCTTTCACGGGGCTGAGTAGTGTCGATAGGCGGCGCCGAGGGTACTTCTGCCGGGGTTGGCTTGAATGTAACCTTGTTCTTGCCTTTCGCAGCGGATGGTTGAGGTGGCGGAGAGCCCGGCCGTGTTGACGTCTCGCGTGTACCGGAGCGGTAGTCATCTTCATTTGCCGTTTCGTAACCGTCCCCGTCGGACTCGACATCGCTTTCGAAATCGGCATCCCAGGCGTCAAGGTTAGAGTCGTCGAACTTGGCGCGCACCAGAGTCATGACCGAGTCGACAGGAGGTGGATTGTCAGCTTTACGGTTCGCCTCGGGGATGAGCAACCGTATCTCGTCACGTACGCGGTCCGGCAGCGCCCTGTAAAAGTACCTATTCAGCTCCGTAACAGTTAGCAGCTTCTGCTTCACGAGCCACTGTGCGATCTTGTGGAAATCGCGGTAGTAAGCCTCAATCTCCGCACGATTCTTGAACGGTTTCGCACGGGACGAGGCTTTGCAGAAGTGACGCAAATCCGCCAATGTGTAGCGCGCAGGCTCGTCAGCTGCCCCGTACATATTCAATAGCTGCTGCTTGGCAACATTCCAGTCATTTTTGTCGAAGCACTCGAAGCTCTGCACGAGCTCGCGCACGTCGCGGGAACAATAGCGCGCAACATACTTGGGCAACTCCTTCGTATCCAACTCGGCTGCTCTGCCACACTCTTCGAGGTGGTCAATGAAGTCACGCACGCGCTTCCCGTCGAAACGCGGTGCATCGCGGGAGTGGGGAACGGGCATGGCCCGGTGGGCATTCGTCGACATGGTGGTCAAAGGAGAAGATTGACGCGACGGGCTGAGAGAACTTATAGAAGAAGACGAGATAGACGCCGACGATACAGTCAGCAGGGACGAAGCGCTCGGGAACGTGGGTAAAGATGGTGTGGCCCGGTGAGATCGCGCTCCTTGAGAGCTAGTAGGGGCGGGAAAGTCGGGAATAGGCTGTCCGTTCGCGTCAAGCCAGGGTCGGGACGAAGATTCTGAGCCCGAGGGCATGCAAGAGGGATATGAAAGAGGAGGAAGAGACGAGGACCTATCTGATGGATGGTCCGAGGCGGAAAACCCTATCCCCTGCGGTGGTCACCACTGTGGCGGGATCCCCCGGGCGCAGGTGGCGGGAACGAGGTCGCTCGGACGGGAGTGACACGCGGTAAGCGTGGGGAGGATCTAGATACGAGGAGTAAGCCACTGACGAGTACGCGTAGAGCGTACCGTTAGTGTCCTGGTTGTGGGTAGCTTAGTAGATAGGTG